TGTCCAAAGACTAACTAGATCCTATGCAATGTGTGACGAGCAATGCTTTGTTTAGCGGCTGAGTCCACAATTCCTGTTCCTATGTGACCCAAAATTCATATTTTTAATATAAGACGTGCACGAGGAGAAAGGTTTAATTGATTAATGGTATTTACAACAAAATCGTTTGGTTTAATGTCTGCACTAGAAAAATCAATGGACGCGGTTGCTGATGAAATTCAACACTTTGGACAATTAGAACGAAGTCTGAGCGCTGACGCGAATAGGCTGTGTAGTTACCATAACCGAATCCGTTTGTTCCGAATTTTGACTCGTGTCAACTAATGAACCGCCACTGACCGTAGATATGTTTTTCGCAGCCAGTTTACGACACTGATGATCTTTGGTGAGACAGATATTTTGGCAAAAAACACAACGCACTTTATTTTTTTTTTCACTAAAATCATTCGACTGTGATTGTTCAATGGCAGCCGGTGTCTTAAGATAAAGTTCGACGAGAGACTCCTCAATAAGACACGCTTCACTCATAAGTTCGTTAAAGTTGGTGATTTTATCGCGGGGAATGTTCTGTCTTGTTTTAGGATGTAATAAACCATAAATTATGTCCATTTGAATGTTCTCAGTAATCTCAGTTAGTGTACCAGGAGACAACTGTGCAATAATAGCACGGCACTTACGAATAAACACATCTGTTTTCATGTCCGACGGCTGTTCTTTAGCAAACAGTTCTCGATAAATGCCATATCTGGGTTTCTGAGGACCGAACGTTTTCCTAAGTTAATCGACAGCATTATTCCAGGAAATTAAAGTGAATTTTATTCCGCGAAACCAAGTCGCTGCGAAACTATCGAGAAGCATAGGTAAACCACGTAACGCGTTGTCGTCGCTAACTTGTGAACAGTCTTTATATATCTCGATAGCGTCCAGAAAAGTGTTAACGTCTGCGACTTTCAAACCGTCAAAACGCAACACACATTTAGAAAAGTTTCCGCCCTGTAAATTGACAACTGACTGAGTAGCATGAACGATTGGCTGAGTTTGAATGGTCAAACAATCCAACAGTTCTTGAAACTGAGCGTTTGACAAAGTAACAGAAGCCATTGTTTCTTTGGATTCAGAATCTGTTTTTGATTATGGCATCGTTTTTTCAATCAACTCGAACGAAACCCAAAGCTATATCGTTATCTTTACCCGTGCAAATCCTTCGTGAAGTTCCAAAATTCTTGCACTAATCTGCCTAATCCAAAGGCAGAAACAATAAGGAACCAACAAAATATTTCAGTACAAGTATCAACTACAACTTCAAAGTTCAACCAAACTCAAATAATTCTATTTAAACACAACAGAAGTTCACAAAACAATAGTTTTCGAAAAAAACTGAAAAGTCCGCAACGATTTTCTGTCCTAAACAATCCCGTAGAAGCCGGAAACGCGTGAAAATGTCCCGCATAAAATACAAATTCACCGACAATTCTTCAAAGTTCCGTTGGTCGTTGGGCGCCAATGTACCGCAGTTCTCTGGGTGTCTTTTTAGAACCTCGAAATTATCGGGGATAATACCACGAGAGCTTCAAAATTATCTGGTTCATTTTAAAGCTCAAGTGGTATTTAGAGGATTATTTCACGTATGAGAATGCAAAAAATATGGAAATAAATATGTATTAAATGATTTGAACATCTAAAGAATCAATACAAATAAATGGTTGCTATCAGGAACCGTTTGTTTGTATCAAAAATTAGCATGACAACCATGTATAAAATAACATGGGAGAATTATCGCTGTAAGTCTCTCTAGTTAAACAAATGGAAAAGAGAATTTTCGCTGTAATTCTAAAAATCGTCACTTGTCTTATGGGATTTCTAACACATGAGTGGAATAATCGGTAATATCTTGCTTTTGAAACGGAAACACACTAAAGACTTTATCAACATTAAAACAATACAAGCGAATTAAAATATAAAAAAATAGGAGAGAAATGAAGGATAATATAAATTACTGACCATAGTTAAGTACTGACCAGAGATGTACTGACTTTCTTCCCGTAGTTAATCAATAATCTTTTTCTAGTGAAACAACTGACTAAAAATAAAACACCGTACCAAAACAACACTCACACATCCTAGATTAACAATAATTTTTAAAAGTTTAAACAATAATATTCGGCGAGTTTTTGGGGTTGACGTGTGTCTCATCTGGGGCGTTCCGTTGAGTGTCACAAGGAGTGATTTGGAATTTCGTTACAACAGCTAGTAGAAAAAAGCTGGGAATTCAATAAGCAGATGGCAGATACATACCAACAAAGTCTATACCAATAACTCTTTATAGATTTCGAACAGGCCAACGATAGTGTGAAAAGAGTTAAGATCTGGGAGAGAATGGCAGAATTCAGGATACCTCATAAGATTATTGTAAGACTAATGGCCGTTTCCACTAACTATTTTAGGGGACCCTTAACGATAAGTATTCTCTAAGATGACATTTTCACTGCGGCGCGCTGTCAGATTGGTATTCCCGTGATACGGCGCTCTCCGCACTTGACGTTTCTCCCAGCGCGGGCTTTTTCGCGCGCATTCAGGAAGGTGTTAAAGCAACAGTTCTTATTATTTATTTCTGAAAATACATATAATTTTTTATTATTTTTTTTTTTTTCTTTTCTCTAATTTCTTTTATTTTTGTTTGTTCCCATATACCAACTTACGTAAGTATACAGAAAATACCTCGGAAAATACAATGGGACGCTCCAATATTCAGCCTCCTCTAAAATCCCCTCCTAAAATTTTATTGGTGCAAATATAACTGAAATTCATATCCAGGCAGGTCTCTGCCACACACCACTACTAAATTAGATGTTAGCAACATGATCCCGACATGTATGCGGTAAATAATATACCGGGTGACAATGAAACTACTACCCATGGCGGCATTTCTTAAGGGCTCGAGATAGAAATATGCAACTTGGTTAGCTGATAGGGTTGAAAATTGTGAACAATTTTAATATAAAAACAATTGAATGACTTTTCCGGTTTTACCGGAAATGCAGATTTAACGTAAAATACAAACAAATAGGAATTGGCGATTTCGACTACCGATGGGGGCGCTGGCGTTTGTAAACAAATATGGCGAAAAAAGAGTAATTATTTGACGTTCAGCATTGTATTTATATGCATTCGTATTTCTTTCACTAATTTTCTCGTTGTTCTCGTAGTTTTTTCGGTGTTTTTTTACTATATTTTATAAATTTTGAACGTTGTGACTTTCTTTTATGCATTTCGTATCCATACAACACGAAATATGGGAAATGGAGGCCTGCTTTTGAGTTTAGCCACAGTTTTATTGTACCTGCAGGCTGGCGTAGAAAGCACGATCACTACTTTTCTTAGGAAAATAATGAAAATGAATAGTTCTGTCTGCACCTTTCCGGGAATGGCATTCGTATACACAGCAGTTTGTGTTATGCTTGGACCGCTTGGACTTGGAGACAGATGCTATTGAATTCCTGTAATAATAGCACCTCACAGAGTCACAATAGAAGCTATCCCTTTATTATTTTCCACTTTTCGACACAAAACACGTAATTCAAATTAGGAACGAACAGAAAACATCGAAAAAGCAAGAAAATATTCCAATACGGTATGTAAACAAACGATCTTATTACTGTTTAAGTTAGTTCCAAATATTTCTGCCAGGTGCCGCATTGATTTTTGAAATCGCCAATTACGACATATTTTTGAGCCACTCTATTTCAAAAACTATCAATTTTTGACAAGGGTATAATAGACAAAAGTTATTTAGAATGGTTCAGAGAGTCGAAAAAAAATATATATATACAGGGTGTCCCATTTAAAAAAACAAAGTCAATGCCATTTCCGGTGAAACCGGAAAAGACATTCAATTGTTTTTATATCAAAATTGTTCACAATTTTCAACCCTATCAACAAACCGAGTTGCATACCTACTTTTATCTCGAGCCGTTAAAAAATGCCGCCGTGGGTAGTAGTTTCATTGTCACCCGGTATATCAGTAGTTAGCGTTTGTAGCACCAAATTGAAAAACCTATATATATGTAGTTAGCATTCGGATCACAAAAATCATTTACTTATAAATCAGTGATTAGCAGTGAAAGGGCTAAAATAGTTGGTAGAAACGGCGATAACAAGAGTTTGTGTAGAAGGTTCCAGTTGCAGAGTGAAAGTTGGGTTGGCAGTCGCGAATCAAGAAGTTTAAGAGAAATTTAAAATGGTTAATCAATATTACGTGCATGCTCTTAGTAATCAAAAGATTTATTTTATTAGATAGTTTAGTAAAAATAAGAAAAAATTGTAAGCAGGTACATGAGGAAAATTGAGAGTAGTATTAAACTGTTTATTGCAATGATGACTATGATGCAAAGTGAGATTAATAATTTAATCTACGTCGATGTCATTATGACACATTTAGCATTGTCATTTGAATGTCATTAGGTCTTTCATAATAGCACTAGTGCGTTCAAGAATTCATAAAAACACCCAAATTATGAAATGAAAAATATACAAAAAGAAAGCTATGTAGTTACCAGAAGAACCTGTTCATTGATGGCTGTCTCGATATTCGAAGGGACACATTCGAACTCAGAATCACACCAATATTAACATTATTTTCCACTATAAAACTGATTTTATGGCACAAAAATTGACTCTTATATTGAAGCTGCCAAAGTCAAAGTGCTAAAAATAAACAAGCATGTTCCCAACTAGTACAGGCACCTGCTAAATTTTGAATTTTAATTTGAAAATTTTTTGCTATTTCAAGGCAAATCAAATCTATTTGGACCATCGTAGATTAAATTTTGAATGATACACGTTCGATATGAACTTTATTGATGAAACTTATGTAACTAAACCACTCGGCTAACGCCTCGTGGTTCAACATTACACGCGTTTCATTATGGTGTTCATATCGAACTAGTATCATTAATAACTATAATAGAGTACTTGGGCTAAAGATGCTTACATAGACATACCTGAACAATCGATGACCATATTCGATACCATTTTTCGTTGCGTGCTCTATACAATATGTTTCTTCTGTAGCTTCATAAATTTCGTTGCCGATTTTTTCGTCGAAAAGCCGAAAGACTCCCATTGAATCCAAATTAAAGTCCCAGGAGAGCGGCTGCAAATAAATCTTGCCAGTGTAGCCGTGTACTATTACGAAATCATCTGAAAAATTTATTAATTGCCCGAGGAGGGTATCAAAATGAGCAGTTTTAATGAACATAAATATTACGAGGTAGCTTTTTCTAAAAAAAAACATTTTTGGCTTGCCACGTCAGCACTGAAGTTAGGTTCATAGAAATAGGCAAATAGGTAAGCAAAAAATATTAAACATTTCATAGGCCAAGCAATGAAGGAAGTTTATCAACATAATTAGAAGTTAACATTTTTTGGGGAGGATCGGTTCATTTTCATATGCTTAACATATTAACATATTAAGTTCGTGACCTTGTGCTTCCATAGGGTTTTCAGTGAGGGGTGGTTTTTAGGGGTAATTTGCGGTTTATGGAGAACGCTGCTCAAAGGGATGATCCAATAACAAAAAGTTTCAAATGATTGTTGTAGCTGAAGTTTTTTGCTATACAAAACTCTGCGACAGCACCCCTTTATCTTTTATAGTTTTTTTTTCTGCAGCGTCTTGAGTACTAGCATGTTTTTATTCAAGGTCACTGAATCAACGTTTCACGTGTTTGCGCGCATTTGATGCAGTAGCGGCCAAATGCATAATCCGATTTCAATTTTTCAAACACCACATTATTGCTTATGTAATGCACTCTCCAATGCTTTTTTGTTCGAATTTTTTGCTGGAAAATTAAGCGAGAACGGACTTGCTTAATGTGCGAGGAAGTTGTAAATTGCATCGAAAACAACCCCTTTCTTGCATTCACTGTAATTTCTAAACGGGGCCAAATATATGGTGTCAGTTTTCGACAATCGGCAGCCCATTTATTCCTCTCATAATGCCCCAGCGGATTTTTTTTTCGTTAATTACTCAATGACTTATTGGCCTAAGCACGTCGCGCGGAATTTTTCAAAAAGTCAAAAAAAATCACAATTGTCGCACAGCGCTGAAATTTGGTACGATGGCTTTATTTATTGTTCTTATGAATATACTGCAATTTTAATTATTGCAGCAGTCATGTGAAACAATTAAAATTGCAGTATATTCATAAAAACAATAAATAAAGCCATCGTACCAAATTTCAGCGCTGTGCGACAATTTTAATTTTTTTTGACTTTTTGAAAAATTCCGGGCGACGTGTTCAGGCCAATAAGTCATTGAGTAATTAACGAAAAAAAAAATCCGCTGGGGCATTATGAGAGGAATAAATGGGCTGCCGATTGTCGGAAACTGATACCAAATATTTGGCCCCGTTTAGAAATTACAGTGAATGCAAGAAAGGGGTAGTTTTCGATGCAATTTACAACTTCCTCGCACATTAAGCAAGTCTGTGCTCGCTTAATTTTCAAGCAAAAAATTCGAACAAAAAAGCATTGGAGAGTGCATTTCATAAGCAATAATGTGGTGTTTGAAAAATTGAAATCGGATTATGCATTTGGCCGCTACTGCATCAAATGCGCGCAAACACGTGAAACGTTGATTCAGTAACCTTGAATAAAAACATGCTAGTATTCAAGACGCTGCAGAAAAAAAACTATAGAAGATAGAAGGGTGCTGTCGCTGAGTTTTTTATAGCACAAAACTTCAGCTACAACAATCATTTGAAACTTTTTGCTATTGGACCATCCCTTCGAGCAGCGTTCTCCATAAACCGCAAATTACCCCTAAAAACCACCCCTAACTAAAAACCCTATGGAAGTACAAGGTCGCAAACTTAATATGTTATTAAGCACATGAAAATGAACCGATCCCCCCCAAAAAATGTTAACCTTTAATTATGTTGAGGTAAACCCTCTTTTCAGATCCCCGTTTCTTGGACTATCAATCAAGATTAACGTTTTAAATGTAATTTAATTTTACTGGATCAAAACTAAAATGGAAAATTCCTTGAAAAATAGAAATGCATGCTTTTTCCAAATCTCTTATTAAAAGGATTTTTTAGCGACTAATCGTTTGTAACCGTGTTATAAACGGTAACTGAAATTAGGCCTTTTCGGAAACGCTTATGATCACCAGCTGTTTGTTTTTTGTCTTTCTTTAATGAACACGCTTGAAAAAGGATATAGAACATCAGCTGGTGATCGGGTTAATAAGATCAGCATTTCCGAAAAGGCCTAATAATTTCAGTTACCGTTTATAACACGGTTACAGACGATTAGTCACTAAAAAATCCTTAAAGAATCGGCTATAAGTATAGGTATTTCAGTATCTTATTTAAACTCTACTTTTATGATGAAGAAAATTACCATTCTGGTCGATATTTTCCGAGAAACTCAAATTCACTCCATAAACATAAGTGGGTTTGCAAACTGAGCCATTTACGAAACTTTGACCATCCGGACAGCATTTGTGGATACATTTGGTCGATTCGCATAACCGAAAATCGTCGGTACAAACACGGATGACTTCGCGATTGTCTTCGGTATTATCGAGGCAATAATCGTCTGCAGGCAGATTAGGATGTAACAACGAGTTCGAACCGAAGTTCAACTTATAGTCGATGATCATTTTGCAATGAGGCAATCCGATTCGGAGAAATCTGAAACTAAACATAAAACTTCAATAAAAAGGCGCAACAAACTTTCGGAAACAACATAAATCGAGGAAATAATGAGCGGACATAAAATTTTATTGCAAACACGAAGGTCCATATCCCCCTGTCAATAGATCCAGGATCTTAAACCACTTTAGAGATTTTCCGATACAACTCTCCGAAAACAACTTTAAGACCTTGATAGGATAAATTTTCTTTCGCATGAACGAAACAGTGTGTTGGGACTTGTGATGTGATTCCCAATGGACATCGGTTTGAAAATAAAATACATTTTTATGTACGACTTATTTTGGGCATTTTAAGTTACGTTATGAAATTTTTCTCTCTCAGAAGAGTGACGTTGATAAAAAATAAATAATTTTTTTTTGCAAACAAAAATACTTAGACATAAAAGTATTCAATTTTACCTGCTAAAATCCTTGACAACTAAATGACTATCTTCACAAGAATGACTTCTGGTATTATAAAAATAATCCATGGGACAACATTTCGGATAAAATTGAGTATTAATCAAAAACATTTTGACAAATTCATTTTGAATATTTTTTTTAAATAAAAACACATTTTTTTCAAAAATTTCCACACAATAATTTTCGCTAATACTAAAACCCCTCTCATTATTAATTATATTCAAGTTTATCTCCGAATCAACATCGCACGCGTAAGATTGATTGTTGAATTTAATAATTAATCCTGTAGGGCAACATTTCGAAAAGCTACTTATCTCGGTCATTTGGGGCGAAACGTATGCGAAAAATAAAAGCCACAAAATCACAAAGAGAATCATTTTTTTTTTTTAGGATAACTATTTCACAAGACGTATTATTATAAAACGACGCCCGATGTGTAAGAAAGCAAATCTGGAACTGTTTATAAACGAAATATTTCGGAGATGATCTACTCTGGAAAAAGGAGAAGTAATGTAAATAATGGGCCCGCGGTTACAATAGCGTAATAACTTATTATTAATGAAAATAAGCAAATTTTGCTTGAATGCGTCAGAAATTCAATTTTGTTGATTTTTTGATTGTAGAACGGTGCATGAGCTTCAAGCAAAATAAATAGGGATAATCAATAATTTTTCTAATATTGTTATATTTTTTTAAATTCCGGGCTCTCGAGTCTTTCTAATTTTTTTTATAAAAAGAAAATTAAAAGAAAACAGAAATTCAAGAGCCTGGAATGGTGAATAAATTAACAAAAAAGAAATGAGACAGACGAAGAAAGAAATTTAAGAAAAAATTATATTTTTTGTTTCTATTCCAGGCACTTGCATGAGGTGTTTTACTCTTATAAAAAGAAATTTAGGAGAAAACAAAAATTCGAAAGCCCGGAAAAGTCAAAAATTGACACGAAAGAAAAGAGAAATTTAAGACTAGTGTCACGGCTCTGGCGTGCGTGACAAAACTCTTGTGTCCGTTTATTCAAAAATCAAAGTCCAATCAACGCAACAATTTATTCAACGTTACTATAACACTTTGACACTAACTACTCGACTAATTAAATGAATCAACTTAACTCTTACAACTCTCACAATATTTACTATGTAAAACGTAAAACAGCCAATCTTAAAACTAAAAACTACTAACTAATCCCGGCGTTTATATATTCGTAATCCATTCCTGTAAAATCCAGAAGAACGTAATTGTCTCTTTTCCTAAATAACGCAGTACGTTCTAGAATTCAGGTATGGATTTTCTGCGCCCTGGCGGAGGCGCCGCCACACTGCCCTCCTCTTGAGGTTGATCGTCCCGATCAACTTCGCGTCCATGATTTTTCGTCAATCTGTCTAGATGTAAAACTTTCATCTTACACCTGGTGTTGCGCTGAACTCGATAAACCAAATCATTGATCCTCTTGATTATTCTGTAGGGTCCTTCCCATAATGGAGACAATTTCGGCGACACTCCTTTCTTTCCTTGTCTTGTTGTGATCCGGCTGTATTGGCTTTCAAGTCGTACCTAATCTTCATGTGGACACTGGCCAACTGAATATGCTCCCGTGCTAAATCATGTATCTTCAGAGGTCATGCCCTTACTTCGTCATCATAATCTCGAATTTCTTTTGGTTCTTCTTCAGGTGTTCCAAACATTAGATCGCAAGGTAACGTGAGTTCCCTTCCAAAAACGATCCTAGCTGGACTTTCACCTGTTGACTCGTGAACAGCTGCTCCGTAAGCTATTGAAAATAGAGGCAAATGTTTGTCCCAATCTGGCTGGTTCTTTGCGAACACTTTTGTCAGGTGTTCCTCTATGGTCTTATTAAATCGTTCTACCATACCATCAAACTGTGGATGTAAAGATGTTTAAGATTCGTCCCTGATCTGAATGCAACTCTAGTGGCACACTCTGACGACTAAAAACTTCGTCCACTAGCACCTGGGCAATCGAGATTGCTTCTTGATTGGGAATACCGAAAACTTCCGGCCATTTACTGAAGTAATCCATGATAACCAAGATGATAACCAAAATTAATTATATTAAGAATTGTATTTTATCTAATAGTTTCGATATTTTAACAGTTACAGAGATATATGGCTAACTCAATTGATTGATGATAGCTCGGTGAACATTGATGGTTTTAGGCTGGTTAGACGTGATCGTATGTTGGGTCGTGGAGGGGAGTTCTTTTGTACATACGCAACTCAATTAAATTTTCAATCCTAAATAATGCTAAGTCTACTTATGCTGAACAGGTACACGCAAAAATCAAAATACTTGGTTCAAATAGCTTAAGCTCAATTCGAGCATAAGTTAGCTTTGCATATACTCAAGACTATGACGCCTTGGAATAAGAATAGCAAATTCTCAATATATTAGGTTTCTTTTAACAAAATGCGATGTTTCATTTGAGTATTTCAGATTTTTTATATAAAAATTTAGTTATTTCAAATTGAAGATATATCGCTTCATCCCAAACTTTTAGATATTCATACCTATAGCTACTTGAATTGAGCATATGTCAGTTCCATCTAATAATATAGATCTGCTTTGTTTGATGCTATTCCAGTTTCATCTTAAGAGTATACGGTAATTTCGCCATAAAAATTGAGATATGCTCAAAGTAAACTTTTGTATGCTATTTTATGGCCATTTGCACTTTGCACCGACCATTCAAAGGATGCTCATCGATAAGTATACGTTAAAATGACATTTTAACATGTAAAAAATGTCACATTTTTTACATGTGAAAATGTCATTTTAAGGAATACTTATCGTTAAGTCTCCCTCAAAATGGTCGGTGCAAACGGCCATTAGAGTATTCTACTCTACAGCGTTCGCCCAAATTCAGGAGAATACGGAGAAATCATATACTCAAATTAAGAGTATTTTATTTTTTATCCTTTCCGTTTTAGTATTCGGTTGTTCAAAAGAAAAATTAGTACATTCTCGACATAGGTATATTGTTTCTCCTTCCAAAATTATAAACCATCATTCTAAAGAGGTAATAATTTCCAAATAAAGAGCCGATGCAATCTCAAAACTAAAATTCGTAATTTAGGAATAAAAATGTGAAACATTTTGAAACAAGACTATTTACTACAATGAAAAATATATCTTGAAAATATTATATTCATTTTTCAAACATATTGAAATTCTTGTTTTAAACTGGTGTCCTTAAATTAAAAATATGTAAACTTGAATCAAGTAAAAAATATTGAAAATATACGTAATCTACAATTAAGATTTTGTTTTTTTCTGTGTATGGATCGAATTTAAAATTAACCTATTTAAAAATCTTGTGGGCGTCGTATATAGGCCTCCTGGCACCAACAATGTGAATGAATTTTTGGAAGAATTTGAATGGAATGTTTCCCAAAATTTGCTGATGTATTCTAATCTCGTGTGCTTGGGCGACTTCAACATTGAAGTTTTTAATCTTGATTCCGTGTATTCTCAACAATTTCTTTCGTTGCTGAATGCGTATAGCTTAACACAAGTCATAAACGAGCCAACCAGGCGGGGCCTTACTAGCGCAACTGTCATAGATTTAATGTTATGCTCTAACAAGGATCTTCTGTCAGGTAGTAGTGTCGATACCTCTTTCGATGCATCTGATCACTTCCTTATTAAGTGTCAATTGCGTTTGAGGATCTCCAAACCTAAACCTTGCTTTATATCTTATAGAGATTCACGACATTTTGATCGCGAAGCGTTTTATGCTGATCTCCTTAATATACCTCTTCATAATATCTTTTATCTGCAGAATGTCGATGAAAAGCTGGAAACATTCAATAGATACATTTTAGGCTTGTTTGATAGGCATGCCCCCATTAGAAATGCCCGGGTAACAAAAAAAAAGACACCCTGGATTTCCCCTGTAAGTGTAGTAGCAGCTCACTATGAAGCTACGGAACAAGGCCCTATCTAAATTTAAGCAACGTAACACTCCAAAAAACTGGGAAAACTATCGACGGCTTCGTATTCAAGTCACAATCGCGATTCAAACTGAGAAAAATAACTACCTTGAAACCAATTTGAATATAGGCAATCCCAAAAATAATTGGAAGCTGCTTAGCGAGCTCGGTATATATTCGAAAAATCCTATATCCATTCCTGAACATCTTGGTAATGTGGATGACATAAATCAATTTTTTATAAATGCTGCTCCTTCGTCAACCCCTGATCCAGCTACGTCACTTTTCTATCGCGAAAACAAAAAACAGGATGTCGGCTCTTTTGAGTTTAGACTTGCCACCCCTGAGGAGGTTCACACAGCCTTTTTTTCAATCAAGTCATTGGCTGTCGGTACTGATGGCATTGGACTGTCACGCTGTGTCTCTGTTGCCCTCACATCCTTCCCTTTATTGTACACTTTGTTAACTCATGCATAGACACTTCATTCTTTCCAAATGTCTGGAAAAGTTCTTTTCTGCTTCCGATCTCTAAGGCTCCCGTCCCTGAGGAGTTGAAGGATCTTAGACCCATAAGCATTCTGCCAACACTTTCGAAGGTCCTGGAAAGAGTGTTGGAGAGCCAAATTCGTGACTTCATCCAAGCTCACCAGTTGCTACCTTCTGTTCAGTCTGGTTTCTGTAAAGACT